TCCTTCCCCTCCCCCATGGGTTCCTGTTAAGTTTCTCAGGATCCACATAAGAGTGAAACCATATGGTATCTGTCTTTCTCTGTATGGCTTATTTCACTTAGCATCACACTCTCCAGTTCCATCCACATTGCTGCTAGGATTATTTCAAAAGAGACTCTGCTGGCCAAACATGGAAACATTCGAGCATCAATAAGAATAATACTACAATTTGTTTTAAAATCCAGTCATTGGTAATAGTATCCCCCCAAAATGCTTGAATCTTTTAATTTATACTGGTACATACTAATACATGCCAGAAGAAATTCACTGTTTACCTGTGGAGGATTCATCATTTTGGAAATTGGTAAACATGATCTGGCTCTCAGGGTAACCAAGTAGTGAGGGGTTTCTCTTTATAGAACATTCTCACCACTAAACAAAGAAGGAATAATAGGATTTGAATATCACCGTTTTGCATCCTCTATTAAAGCATGATCACCAACAGTGCTGATGACATACAAGGAGACAAGAAGACATTTTTTGTCTTGTAAGGAAACACACAGGACCACCCATGAGATAGGCTGCCCCCAAACTTGAGCCTGAATCCAATCAAGCCTCTAACTCCAATTCATAGGAAACAGTGTCAAAGAGTATATTTATTAAGCCAGTGTTGCTCAGAGTACTCAAGTGTCACAAGGTAAGTCCTTTGCACCAGAATGGATATAGATGACATGGTATTTAGTTATTTACCTACGGCTTCCTGCTCTATGAAAATCTGACTGTGGAAACAAGGTGAGCTGAACTAAGCAATGTGCTGAGTGAGTCGGTTGCTTAAAGGTTGGTGCAAGCCCTTCTTGGACTGTCCACAAGCAGATGAAGGACCGCACTGGGCCTGTGACCTCCTTTGTTGAGCACCATGTTAACAGCACAATAAGGATGTAATCATCTGAGAACAGACCAGGGGGAAGTTGTGTAGGACAGAAGATCCATTGCTTCAACAAATGAACCACCGGGAAAAAAATCATGGCAGGGAAACATATGTTAAAATCAACTTCGGGTATCTCAGTCAGTTGCAGTATATGGGCCCTAGATGGATTTTGAGTCAGTCTCCAAAAAAGAAAAAAATTGAGACAATGCATAGATTTTGGATGAGGCTAAGGAATTAATATTAATTTTTAAAAGTGATAATGGTACTACAATTATGTTTTGGGTTTTTTTAATATTATAATTTTTTTTAAGTAAGCTTTATGCCCAACATGGGGCTTGAACTCATGACCCCAAGATGAAGACTTGCATGCTCCACCTACTGAGCCAGCCAGGCATCCCTTTTTTAAAAATACTTTTTAAAAAAAATTTTTTTAATGTTTTTATTTATTTTTGAGACAGAGACAGAGCATGAGCAGGGGAGGAGCAGAGAGAGAGGGAGACACAGAATCTGAAGCAGGCTCCAGGCTCTGAGCTGTCAGCACAGAGCCCAACTTGGGGCTTGAACTCACGGACTGTGAGATCATGACCTGAGCCAAAGTCGGATGCTTAACCGACTGAGCAACCCAGGTGCCCCACTTTGTTTTTTTTTTTAAGCCGTTAGATTTTTCAAAAAGAATCATTATAGAAATACATAATGAACCACTTAGAGATGCTGTGATAGGATGTGAGGGATCTTTTTCAAAATAACCTGGGGACTGGGAGAGTGAGCAGAACAGATGAAGCGAGACTGGCCATGAGTTAATTATTAAAGCTGATGGGTGAGAACATGGGAATTTATTCTACTGTTCTCTTTACTTTTGTATGTCTGCGAATTTTTTTTTCATAATTAGTGTTTCGAAAAGAGAGGAAGGAAAAGTGGAAAAAACAGCATGATGACCCTGCCTATACCCGCCATCCAGCTTCAGCAGTTACTAACATTTGGCCAGAAACCTAGAAAGTTTTCAAATAGTGTGATGATCTTAATAATTGAGAACCTGTTCCTGATCTATGTAGGAACTAAGTTTCAGACAGTAATAGAAATTTGAAGGAAATGAATTTATGCCAGGGAAGCAAAAATTAAGTTTGTGGGCCACCCTGAAGGAGTAAATCTCAAATATTCATTTTAGGAGATTCTTCAGATTCTGGCTTCAGCCTCATCTTCTACCCTCTCTGTCCACTCTCTTCTACTTGTTGGCCCTGTTGCCACCTCAGGCTGCCTGCCATTCCATGGACCTGCCGTGCATTTGCTCCCTCTCAGCCTCTGCATGGCTTCCCCTGCCTGTTTCCCCCAGTCTGTTTGGTGAACTCTTACTCATTCTTCAGAGCCCAGCTCCTCCTCCTTGGTGTTTCTTCCTAATCTTCTCAGGCAAAGTTAATCAGTCCTTTTATAATCCTTCACTTGGTCATATGTCAGCTAGGGTTAGAATCCATCATTTCTGGTCTGCGCCCTCAATTAGACTGCATCTCAAGGAGAGGGGATTTGCTTTTTTACCTGTTTATCTCTAGCGCTTGGCACATGGAAGGCTGTCAGTAAAACTTGCTAAATAGTTACATGTTAAATTACCAGAAGAGGGAGGTCATGACACAGCAAACTGAAATTCCTAAGGAGGTAGGAGTCTGTGAACTCACTTTCCTAGGCTTTTAACAGCCGATTGATTATCCTCTATTCCAAGCCTCTAACGCGCTGGGGTGAAGGCTTGAGTTTGGGTAAGGAGAAATGACTTGCCCAAAGTCAGGGTGAAGGAAGATGAGGACTAAAACCCACACCATCAGGTGACCAGTATGTAACATTGTAGGTGGAAAGGTTCAGCCAGCCAGATTTCCAGAGCTAGAACTAGAGCCCAGAACTCACAGGTCCACACCCAGAACCAACACTGCCATGAAAGTTACTTCACCAACCCTTTCTGTAGGTATGCATGGGGCACTTTCAGTGAAGATGCTTTGTGGAGCACCAAAAACCATAAAATACCTAGGAATAAATCTAACCAAAGAGGTGAAAAATCTATATGCTGAAAACTATAGAAAGCTTACAAAAGAAATTGAAGAAGGCACAAAAAAATATAAGAACAGTCCATACTCCTCAGTAGGAAAAACAAATATTGTTAAAATGTCGATACTACCCAAAGCAATCTACATATTCAATGCAATCCCTATCAAAGTAACACCAGTATTCTTCACAGAGCTAGAACAAATAATCCTAAAATTTGTATGGAACCAGAAAAGACCCCGAATA